TATTCATGCATATGAAGACAGCAGTGATGCAAGCTTGTCGATATGGGCACTGGGAAGTTGTACAAACTCTTCTAATTTTCAGATGCAATGTAAGTTGTTAAATTGGAATTTGGCTTTGCTCATATCACTTATAAGTTGTTTGGCGTCTAGCATGTCTGGATCATGAAAATGGTTGGCCTTCGTAAAGCTGCTTTAGCAGTAAGTTTGAAATTTATCCTCTCATGTCACTTGTCGTGATAGAGATGTTGTTGCATGTAACTGCCACAAGGCCGTTATTTAATTTTCTGATCGTGTTCAGTATTTGGTCAGTACTGGTTACCTATTGGTTTTAGTTTGAGTTGTGGTGTGATAATAGCTTCTTTCTTGTAATCAGGTAATGAGAGCAGACTACCTTAGCGGTCGGACTGCTCTCCATTTTGCTGCTGTAAATGGTCATGTGAGATGTCTTAGACTTATTGTGGCCGACTTTGTTCCTAGCGTTCCCTATGAGGCTATTAATAGTCAGACCGATGCTAGCATAAGTGACGGTGCAAATGTGAAAAACAGATGTGAACAAGGGTACTTGGCTTGTTTCCTTTTATATCTAAACATAAATTTTGTGCAGTTACTAGCTAGTTTGATTTTCAAAGAAATAGGTAGATAATGACAAGTTTTGTATAATTGTTGAGCAAAAGTATTAGTTGTGAAGTTCTTTAATGGAACATGGATGTGAATGTCTCGAATATAAATCAAGGAGTATTCTCTCGATTACTAAGATTATATTACTTGGTCTTTAGGACCAAATTGCCGTATAATGGTTGTTTACCATAGAGTATTGTAGACTTTGCTTGACCTGTTTATTATTCTTGCGATTTATTTTTATGTTCCCAGTGCAGTGCTTTGTCCAAGTTTATAAATAAGGCAGCTGATGGTGGCATTACTGCTCTTCATATGGCAGCACTGAATGGATATTATGATTGTGTTCACCTTCTTCTTGACCTCCATGCTAATGTTTTGGCGGTAACATTTCATTATGGAACCTCTATGGATTTGATTGGTAACTCGAACTCCCTCAAGTTCTTGCTTCTAAATCTTAATGGTGTTTTGTCATCTTTCAACTCTCTAACAAATGGTTATGTCATTATAATAGGAGCTGGAAGCACACCATTGCATTATGCAGCTTGTGGGGGTAACTTGAAGTGCTGTCAGGCAAGACGTCTTTATGATTTTAATAGTTTATTTTTGGCTTTAATGAATGATATTTGAATATTTTGTTAATTTTCCTCTTTCTTTTTACATTTTTCAGATCCTCCTTGCAAGAGGTGCTTCTCGGTTGACTTTGAATTGCAATGGGTATCTCTAATCGCACAGTTTTCACTTTTGGTTTTAAATCTCTAATTGTGACTTGTCTGATTTAAGATGCAACTATCGTTTCAGGTGGCTTCCTCTAGATGTAGCCAGAATGTGGGGACGCCACTGGCTTGAACCTGTTCTAGCTCCCAATTCTGACTCAATAATACCGAGATTCCCCACTTCCAACCACCTATCCTTGCCCCTAATGAGTGCATTAAACATTGCCAGGTAATTGGTAATTTGCTATGTTTTGGAGTTGCTAATTGGCTCACATTTCGTATGGCCTTGGAATGAATTGCTGCATCGATCTTACTAAGGTTATTGCATTGAAAAAACTTGAGAAAAGTTATATTTCTACCTGATAATAAGGTCGTTGGTAGTGTTAGTTTATATGCTTTTTTCTCCGTCCACGAATCTGAGTGTCTTCCATGGTAGTATTTGCTACATATGATAACTTCAGATGGTGGAAAATATTCAAAGGGGCAAGGTTTTCTTTTTTCTGCTGATGTTGAAATTACCAGTTCTTCGTATAAATTGATGCAATTTTTCTAGTACTGACCTGGAAATTGAAAATTTGGAGTTCTTATTTATCTTTCTCCTCTCTTCAAGTTTAACTTAGTTTTATAAGTTGGAAGTTATAGAGTAAACCGTAAGGGAAAATCTAGCTTCATCACTTAGATTGATGAATGTACGAGCTATTTTTATGTTCCATTTTCCACATTACATCCAAAGAGAATCAAAGGGATTTCTGCAAATAGTAGACACTATTGTACAAGTTAAATTAATGAAATCAATTGAATCCTTTGCCTCCTCGAGTAGCAGTATTTTACCCTTATCTTTCGTGGCTTGTTTGTTTCTCCAGAATTTTAAGTTATTTTAAATAATAAAAAGTTTCAAATGAATTTAGATGGTTTTTGTCACTTGAAATAGAATGATTTGAAATTCTGTTTTAAAATTTGCAGACTAAAATAGTTCGATTTTGCAAGATTTCATATAATTTTATGATAAATTACTAATTTAACTTTGTTGTATTTTAATTTTCTATTAAATTAAAAGGTTAACATTTTCTTTTATTTTCTAATCAACATCCAAACAAAAAGTTTTAATTACACTATTGCAATTATTTTTCCACTCCAGACAAGATAAAGAATTTAAGTGATTATTTTTTGGATTTCAAATCACAGAACTTTCTTGATTCCATAACGAGGATAAGTGGGGAAAGAGGCCTGATTTGAGTGAGCTGCTTTGTAAATTTAAAATTTTAAGATCCAAGTATTTGTTTATGTCAGATACATCAAAAGAGGGGCTATGCTATGTTTAGTGCCTAGGAATTAGGATCACTTAAAGTTAATGTTAAGATATTGGAAACATCGTTTTGGTGAAAGTTGCATTCCTCGTAAAACAAGGGCTACTCTTTAGTGCATTGGAAATTTGAAGGATGATACGTGGAATTTTCTGCAGAGAATGTGGTTTTAAGTCTATGGGAGTGACCTCCGACGATGGGGATACTTGTGCCGTCTGTTTGGAGAGAGTATGTTCAGTGGCAGCTGAAGGTAAGTTCCCTTTTCATACATTTAACATCTGAATGTTGTTTTCCTCTTGTGGCATGTTTCTGTTGATTTATCGGGCGGGATTATTCTTATCATAACTACTTTGCATTTTCTGTTCGGGCCATCTTTGCATCCGTTTGATATGATGTAACAGAAAAAATTTTCTCTCTAGTAGTAATTCAATCTAACTCTTCTTCACCACTACTTCAGTTCATGATTTTTATTAGCCATAAGAGTGGACCTTGCTCGGTGTTTACCAAATTTTGAGATCTTGGGGAAGTCTTAGCCTTTTAAAAAAGTTTAATTGCCAGTCTGCAATCTATAGAACCCGCAAATGTTAACCTATTTGAACTAAGGTTCAAATTCTAAAGAAATTTAAATTAGATTAAGTTACAATTTTAATCTAAATGCTTAATCTTTTCTTAGTCTCAATAATTTGATCCTGGAGCTTTTAAGAGTTTTATCGGCTCTGGCATTTTAGAAATACCCATGTTGTTTATGAGGTGTAACAAAAATCCATTCTGCCAAGTTGTGCCAAGTTATTTGTAGATGTGACATTTTATTTTAGTGATGTGATTTTTTTTTTCCGAAAAATTAATGACGTGGCACGTTGGTTGAAAATATAAATTCAAGTTTTAAAATATTATTTTGATTGAGCCATCTGGCTCAAGTGGTCAATAAAGGCCTTTGTAAATAGTAAAGGACTTAGAGGGAATGAGTTCAAACCATTGTGGCCACCTATCTAGGATTTAATATCCTACGAGTTACCTTGTTAACCAAATGTAGTAGGGTCAGGCGGTTGACCCGTGATTAGTCGAGCTGCGCGCAAGCTGGCCCGGACTCACGGATTTCAAAAAAAATATTGATTGAAAGGCAGAAAGGGCGAGCTAATCCTTTTATGGATTGCACTTGATAATAATGTTAGTTGAGTTACTATATATAACTCCTTTTTAGAGTGCAACTATAAATAACTTATTTTTTAATTTCTATTATTCTTTGCTAATGACTGAGACATCTGATAAGCTTTAGTTAAGAATAAAGACAATAATATAAATTTTGAAGCTATAGGAACTAAATTAAAACTTCATTGAAGCATAGGACTAAAAGATTCAATAATAAGATCTCTGACAAAAATAAAGTTTAGTGTTCTATTACTCTAAATTTCTTTCAATTCGGCTGTCGAGTTCTAAACTTGAATTTCTAGATCTAAGTCTGCCTACCATTTATGTGCTTGAACTGGATGTTTTTGTGGATTTATCCATGTGTACTATGGTTGTTGAGTAATTTATGACTTATTTGATTCTGTAGGATGTGGACATGAGCTTTGTGTAAGATGTGCACTCTATCTTTGTTCGACTAGCAATATCCAATCTGAAATGACTGGCTCATCAGGCTCGATTCCGTGTCCCCTTTGCAGACATGGAATTATATCTTTTGTAAAATTGTCGGGTGCCATGACAAAGGAAAAACAACTTCATTTGTCTCTTAGCATGTGCAATCCATGCATTCTTCATACCCGTGATGCTGAAGATCAGGCTTCAACTTGTACGCCAGAGATTCGGAAGAATCGAGTGGCTTCAGTTTCTTCAGATGTGTTCTGCCCGGTAACTTGCAACCCATTTCCTTCTGCTGCCATTCCTTTGTGTACGTGCAATGATGGTCCATGCCCGACCTTCGAGTCCCGGAACGTTGGAACGGAAGATGAATCCCCTCGTCACTCACAAACAACGCCAATAGACCAGGACAAATTGGGAGGACCAAGACCAGAAAGAACTAGCTGCTCAAGCATGTTTTGGGGAAGAAGAAGCTGTAGCAGGGAGAACCAATGCAATTCAGAAATAAACGCTTGACATGGCTCGTCGGTATCGGGTTAGTCATCTCGACGAAACTTGAGAATTTATATTAACCGCGGTACATTCTGGAAGTTGCAGTGGATACATTTATATCTATGTCGTGGAAACAAAGTTGGGCATAACGTGGTTCGTTTTTCTTATTTTTGTGCTCCCAATTTTCGTCATGGCTTTAGGAGGCCTGGTTGGTGTGAATAATTTGTTTGGCATAGCCAGCAATTTTGAGCATGTTCTGCTTTAACTCAATTGCTGCTGCCTGTACTATTAGGTTAGGGAAGGTTGTAAAATTTGTATGTTGAAATCTTTTAGATACATTTTTATAATTGAATGAATGCCAGTAGGAGAAAGCAAAGAGAATTCTATTTATTACAAGTCAAATGGGTGATTTTTTTTATTTTTTATTTTATGGGAGAGTACGGTACCAAGAAAAAAGATGGATCTCATCGTCTGAGATCAAGGCACAAGAGGAACAAAGAGACCTTTAAAAAATGTTGTTGGAACACGAACAAGAAAAACAACATAACTAAAGCTGAACAAACAACGTATGAGATACAACTTACATCAGAATTAGAAAAAAGAAAAATGAAAATAAATTCCAAGCCAATCTTATCAATGGTGGGAATCTAGAAGAATACCATCATGGTAGCACAATAGCATGAGAAACATCACTTTCAATAAGATGTAAAATAATATGAACTAGACGAGAGACTCTATAGGTTCTTGAATTAAACTATCTCAAATATGAGAGAACCTAAGCAATCCTAATGGACAGATCCACACTAGCTCTATACTAGTGGGTGACGTTGAACTTTAGGTTGTGTTTATTTTATTTTGTATTTGAATTTTAGGAAGTTTCAATTTCGACTTTAAATTTTTGACTTTTTATTTTACTGAAACATTGAATGAACTATTGAATAGTTATTTAACATGATGCGACACATGAGCACAGAGACAAGCCTACGTCGGTGCCAAACCTATAAGTGACACTAGTATATTAGGCTCGAATGATTTTAATGTGGATATAAAAAATGTAGAACCTAGTCTTCAAAAAACAAAAAGAACCTCAATACCTTTTTCCTATTTATCTCGTTTCCAAGATTTTGGGTCTAAATAATTTAATTAAGTTTAATGATTTAATGACCTCTAAACAAATTTTAAATCTCCATATCTTAAAAACACTTTAGTTATGCATCTCAGTTTTGAATCTAAGAAATTAATCCATAAATATCATAGGGCTTCACAATCCTAGTTTTGAAAATATCTTTCCTTAATCCTACAAACCATTCAACACTACACAATTTCCAGATTTAGGAGGAAACGCAGGCCCCAACCCAACAAAAGGACCTAATTAAAAGAAATGCCTTCAATCTAGCATTTCCTAAAATTTGACATTTCGGACAAAAAAAATGTAAGATTTTGAAATTTAAGGACAAAAAGAGCTATTATCCAAATATTGAACAATATGATTCCTAAATTTTACAAACCACACAACACTAAAATAAATAATCATAGAAATGTAAATCAAAATTGTATCGAGCTAGATTGCATAAATAATAACAACAAAAACAAATAGATATGGAAACATTGCTGGAGGTAAATTTGTGCTTCAAGTTCAAAATTATTGATGTCTGTTCCAATTTAAGGCAATAAAGTAAAACCCAAACTGCCAGAAGAAATGGCCAATCAAACCACCAAAGGGAAAATAAGCGAGGTGTTATCATACTCTTGCCATGCCACATTTGAGATGGACAAAGAAATGAAGTTATTTACAAATACAGAGTACACACAAAATAAAATTAAAAGAAAATAAGGATTTTGATTCTGATTTTGCACCCAAACCATATCTTTTATCAAAATGGCTCTAAACAGTCAGTTGTTGGATGTTTTTTTTTTGCTCTCTTTGCCTTTGCTTGCTTGAGATCAACCTCCAACTCCATTGGATTTATCCTTCTCAATATCTATGTCCCTCACACCAGCACTTAATGACGAAGACGAATCACATCTTCCTGCTGCCGTATCCATCTCAGCCTCGTCTTCATCGTCTTCGTCCACTAAAAGCGATCCATTCCTTCGGAGTTCTCTAACTTTCCTATATTCATCATAGTGAGCTCTTCTGTGTTCCTTGAAGCTCTCCTTGAAGCTCAAACTGCCCTTGTCTGTTTCCAGACACCCAACAGGTGAAAGAATGCATCAGAATACACACGGATTTTAAAAGGAAATTACCGTCTAGTTCAAACTAAAGGTAAAACAAACAAATAGAAATAAATTGTATCAATCAAACAGTGAATGAGATTACAACTGCCTGCTTAAACCTAGATCATGTGGTAAAACTAGTTGTATTTGAAATCCAATAAAGTATGTTAAGTTAGGCAATGGATGTGAAAGAAATGAGCAGAAAAGGAAAATTGGGAGCTTACCTTCATCATCTTGATCCATGGCATCTGCCTCATCCTCAGACGACGTCCAGCCACTAGATCGCTGGCTGCTCTTGCCACTAGAGGAAGCCACGTCATTCAGAGCCGTTCGAATGGCTTCGGCATGCATTGCATCACCAACACACAACGCAAACCTGTCCCGCACGGGAGAAAGAGAATCTGCAATCAACAAAACAACAATTACAAACTTAAGGAGGGATGCATAATTTTAGTAAAAAGTTCAAGTGAGCCATGTCTAACTCCTAAACTTATCAATTCACTGGAACGCCCCACACACGTTAATACTTTCTCACCAAAATCGGTTATACAATTACCATCTTTGTCATTGGGCGAAATATCAATAATGTGAGTGATTGCATTCACACACTCATTTATCTTTTCATGTTTTAATATATGAATTCCAATTAAGCTACAACAATGGAACATAGATTCCTAAAAAAAATGATGAGCATGTCTAGGTAGCCTATCTTTTTTTCAATTCTTTTTATAAAACGCCGAGCTTTCATTGAGAAGAATGAAATAATACAAAATGGCACCAAAAAAGAGCCAAACTAAAAGAAAGGCACTAAATTGGCATGATCAGGCGTAAGGAGTAATTAAAAAAAATCTGTGGACCCTAATGCCCAAATGGAAATGTTAACCGAGCAAGGGCCTACATCTCCTCCCAAGATCTCTCAATCCTTCTAAAGATCGTGTTGTTTCTCCCCTCCCACAAACCTCAAAATAGAACAACTAAGAAACCCACCTGTCACAAAAGTCAACCCTATCCCTAAACTGATGGAGATATTTTCAACATATAACATTTACCTCAAAATATCCTAATAAAAGATCCTTAAAATTCCATTCATAAATTGAAATCATAAGTAAAGAGATATTTTCAAAAACTGAATCAAACAAAAAAGACGTAAAAGTGTTCCAAATGTATGGTAGAATTTACTTATGAATCACACTCGAACCCATCAAAATTAAATCACAATTATATAAATACGATAGAGCCCTTTTACCTATGAATCACAATCGAACCAATAAAAAAAAAAATCTGCGGCTCACTACCGTAATTCCTAATTTCCCCTCTTCTCTCTCTACCGTTCTTTAGCTAAGTTTAAAGATACTAAAGAATAGAGGGCCCACCCACAACCCATCAGCTTACATTCATAAATTTGCACACTCAAAACCGATCTCACTTTCTCACTTACCCTCTGCTCACGTAATCCCCCTCTGCTATACTTAGACTCGCACTTATTTTTCCAAACATATGTAAAATACACTGCCAGTTATACCCTATCAATATAAGGTTGGATAGTACGTGAAATTTTACTCAGAAAACAATTCAAAGAAAACTATAATCTATATATATTTCTACAAGGTAATGGACAATTTACTTACTAAATTGACAACGGTAGTTCCACTATGTTTTATGTAACACCCTCTTTGGGAGGAGGATGTCCCTTGGTCCTTTAGGCTGTTTTTGCCCAGTTGGGCTTTTAGAATGGAGTTCAGCTATGTTTCTTATTAAATAATAAGCAAAAGATAAATAAAAAATAAAACAATTCCATTCCAATAGAAAAATTTATAAACAAATTCAATTATGTGATCAAATAAATCTTAAATCCGTAGATACCCAATATTCAAACCCATAAAAACATCTCCTCAATTTCTTCCATACTTTTCAAAAAGTTGGATCTCTAAAACTCATACTTAAAAATATTCCAGAAAATCAGAATTTAAATCATAGAAAGGCTCCCTATTTGACTTCATAATCAAATAAATAATCATACCACAATACTCTTTTTTTAATGGCTAATACGTTTTACTCATTATTTAGTCCCTAAAACATACCTCAAATATTCAAAATCACACATAAACAAAAATGATTAAAAGCTTTAAAATTTCCAAGTCTGTAAAAAATATATAAATAAAAATCTAAAATTTGTAAGCAAAGTATTGATTTGCACAAAAATCAAATCTAAAATCTCAATAATATTCTGTGAAAACTGAGTGGAAAACAGATTAATAAACATATCGAAAAATTTTAGAATTAAAAGAATTCATGCCTACAAATAAATTTCACAATTACATGCTTTATAGGAAATTAATTTTGAAATACATTCAGAAGGGAAGAAATTAAAGTGAGAAAACTTACCTTTGGATAATCCCAACAAGCTAATGAAAAGGTAAAAACATCATTTCGTTCTTTTTTGTTGCTCTTCCACCACACCTCTTTATTAAGTTTCTATTTATTTTCAATATCACCCACAAAGAGTAGGAAATGTTGCGTTTAACCGACCAAACTTGATTTTTCTTTTTTCCTGCTCGTTTAAAGTTAATATATAAATTTACCAAGAATAAATTCAGTCAAAATCAAATGGTGCTACTTGTTAAATATCTTTTTTTTCTTTTCTAATCTTCTCTGATAAAATTTGGTCTTTAGGTCAAATTCATCAAATGATTAAGCTTTGTCCAAAAATAGTTATCCAGAATATACCTAGTTTTTTAGAAAAAAGTTCAACAACTATAAAAAATAAATTAATAAATAAATAAAATAAATTTAAATTCAAAATGATAGATCAAAGAATACTTATATTCAAATTAGATTTCTTTAAAGAAAAATATCACAATAGATAATAAATTCTCTGGGCATTACATGCTTCTATTAGAAAGAAAACATACCATCATCATCAATCATGGGATGATAAGGCGTCTTAGGTTCAGTAATTTTCTGCCTCACAGGTTTATTTGCTTCAATTAGACCAATATTCACTTCATCCCATTTCACATGGCGCCCGCGGCAACTACAAGAACAGAAAGAAAAGCACAATTTGTGACATCGAGGGTGAAATAAATTTATATCATAGGGTAAAACTAGAGAATCTGACCACAAAACATTAACAAGAATATTCCAACTAGATTCCAAACCTGGTTAACTTTATATATGATATGTACCTGTTGCTCTAATAATAAGGATTTTTGTAATTACCAACCAAGCTGGGTCTTATTCTTTTCAATTAGTGTTCATTTCTGCTTAGTTCAGTTTGGACTCTTCTTGTTGGGCTTTTTTTAATGCTTGATATATTCTTTTTCTTTTTAATGAAAGCCAGGTTTCTCATATTAAAAAAAAAAGAAGAAAAATGCTTGCCCTTGTATAGGTTAAAGCTAAAAGATAGCTTCAACTTATTACTATCCAGAGGTCAAGGGTCTTTTTAGCTTGCTTGTCGTTTTTTTTCTTGCATTAGTGGCCAGCGATTGGTTTGCCCCTACAGTCAGATTACTAGGCTATGACTCTCATTAATTTTTCAAATGAAAATGGTCTTTTACCTAAAAAAAACTATTAATGGACAAATAAAACAAGATAATTCCATTTAAGCCCAGTTACAGAAGTCTTACAGCCTAGCGAACAAACAAAACAATAATAACATAAGTAGCCCTAGGTTGCAGACGAAAGAGGAAAATCCAATAAGAGAGCATTGGACCATAGGTGTGGGAAGCCACAAGCACCCTTCGAGAGCAAGTGAGAAAGAAATAAGGGCTTCAACTTTGTATTTGGGAGGGCAATTAAGGAGAAATAACTCATACCTCTTTGAATCTTTTCTGGTCATCATCTTCACCTCCTTGTGAACCTGTCCACGAGAAAAAGAAACCCAAAGCAGTTGGTGACTATCCCAGTTCACATGGACATCAGCAAGAAGAGAATAATGCTTAAATTTCTCTTTTCCATTTATCTCATATCTCCTGATTATTCAAGCCACGGATTTCAGCCATTGAATCCAGGGTGATCGCTGACAAAAACATTAAATGCCCTATGAATTTTCCGATGCGAAACAGTTGTCATATATCAATTTCTCGGTTCCGAGTCTTGTCATATATCAATTTCTGAGTTTATTGATGTGCCCTAATAAATTTATTTAATACATAAATGCAGGGACTGCTTCTTCTGCTTTATTTTATCTGATTCAATATAAACCAAATAAAAGAATATTTTATTTCCTCGCGCTTTCGGCTCTCTCCACCCGCGAAGATGACAAAAAACAGAAACATTTTAAACAAAAAGGAGAAGGGTGATGATACTCCTCCTGTTTTCATTCCGTCCAACACTAATCTTTTTCCACCGATCTTCCAGCATATAAACAACGCCTATAATCTCGAAACAGAATCGGTAAAGAGGGAAAAAGGCGTAAGAATTTTACCGTTCGTCAACGTCCTCGTGGAGGGACACTGTTTCCGACGAAAACACGAGTGTATGAGTTAGAGGCGGAGGATTTGAGGTGGAGATGTACCGAATGTTGATGCAACAGAGATGGGAAACAGAGAGAAACTGCGAACGGAAGAGAGAGAGAGAGATGAGATTGACCGAGCGAGAGAAGAGAGAGAGGTGGAGAGAAGAGGAAGAACACGAATGAATGAATTAGAGGCAGAGAAGAGCTTTGGTTTGAGCCCGATGCCATCTTCAATTTGGGCTTCGGAATCCCATGGGCCGCCATTGGAGCAGGGATCCACTTTCACATGGGCCCATTTTAACCTAAATTTTCACAAATGTCTGACAATGGCCCGTTTAAGTCCAAAAACGTATATGCCTATAGATAGGTATATTATATTTTAAAAGGAAAAAAGGAAAAAAGGAAAAAGTATGATTCTTATGTTCGATTAGTTCGTTCGAGTATATAAAGTTGTTTTGAGATATTTGTTATACTTGTGCACCATGTGGATGAATGTAAGGAGTTGAATTTTATTTATTTATTTATTATTATTATTATTATTTAAACTTTTTCTTTCTAATTTTGAACTGGCCTCGTATCGTGGAGTTCAATCCTTAATGTCCACTATCTAAACCATCTATGCAAAGTTATGTTTTTTCAATCCTTTTTATTTCATCTTATCCTTCCCGAGGCAAGAATAATGTATAGAGATCTTTTTAAGGAAAAATTGAGATCTCTAGCTTCACAACAAAAAGAAATTTGTGTTTTCTATCAAGACACATAGTTAAAGCACCGAATAGGCTAGCAACGTTGAGATCTTCTGCTAGTGGTTTCGAGTTTTGGTTACTATGGCCAGAGGTATATAATCCGTTAAACCTCTTGTCTTACATTTTAAACAATACATATACTATTTTTAATTTTTATAATAACGTTTTGATTAACAACACATTTAGTTTCTATATTTTCGTTAAAGTAACAATTTAGTTTATCAACTTTAATATGTAACAACTTAGTCTTTATACTTTCAAATTTGTATCAATTTAGACCATAAACTTTAATATGTAAAACTTTAGTTTTGTTAGTTTAAAATTGTAACAATTTGGTCTCAACCTTGTAAAATCTTGTTAAGGTTTAATCGAATTCCTTATATATTTGAGTCGATAAATTGTTGAGGAGACCAAATATGTTTTATAAACTACAAGAAACTATTCACCTTTAGTTAGAACTTAGAAGTAGGTTTTCACAGCAACAACAAAAAAGAAGAGAAAAAAAAAACAACTAACTTAGAAGTGCACATAATATCCATATTGAGAGAATAGAAAATTCCTCGAGATAGATACTAACTACTCACTAATTTTACAACTATATGGACTACATTATTATAAATTCAATTTTAAACGTGCATGGACCAAATTACACAGCTACATATTAAAATCTAGAAACTTAATTGTTACTTCCATCGTTCCACGAAAGTGTATGGACCAAAAGTGTTTTTAACCTTTTTTTTCTCTTTTTTGTTAACCGAGAGTTGGAGCTTTGCTTCCTAGTCCCAAAAGCACCCTCGCCCGCCCCAAAGCCCGAACCCGAGAGACATGAAGAATTTTTTGTATTAAACTCACCAAAAAACTCGAACTTGAGACCGTTAAATCGATACGATCAAAAGACCCCAAGTCCAACTGGTTTCTCCCTGCATTATAACCTATATTCTTTAATAATCATTTAACAAAATCTATTTATAACCTGACACCTAACTTACTACACTGAATTTCAAGTAACATAATTCCATAAAAACATATATTGACCAGGTAAACGAAGGAAAAATGTTCCTATCTCGTCTTTGCATTCAAACTAATAATAGTTACCAAATGATTTTTATCCCAACTTCAAGACAAACATTTGGTTTGAAGAATCGAAAGACTAAAATAGAATAAAATTGGAAAGGAACAATCAATGTGCTTTACATTGTAGTGTAAGGGTGGGAGGGAACTTACTTGTTACAGTATGATACTAGTACTAGGGGCTAACTAAGCCTGCCAAAAACATTCCTTTTCTTCTCTTCTCTTTCCTATAAAAGGATGAGCGGATCATGAATCATGTTGTTTCACCTCTCTCTGATTGAATCCAAACCAATAAAGATATGATTGAATTTCACATCTTTAACCACATAAAGAGTTCATGCTGTTTGGTCTGTCACTGCAGATGAGCAGCGAGATCTCTCTTTCACCAATGGCTGTGGTTCTAATAGAGAAAAATACCATAGTATGGTTTATTAATGAAGTCAGTTTATTAAGGGAATCAGTAAGATTACAATGTGAAACAGCAGCAACATTTGGAAAAGAGATGAACTATGAGGTTACTGAAGCATTACCAAAAATTCAAGCTTAAAAATCGAGGTTTTGATGCCTGAAAAGACCCCCCCTATCTTTTAATTTGTAGGACATGATTTAGAACAAAAAATTTCTTTAAGATAATCTTGGGTGAGTAACTTTATTTGGGTTTATATGGGACCCAAACACATGAATCTATTGACTTTCAGAGATTGTTACCAGCTGTCTATGTTATCAACCAAATATACTATTTAGATTAGAATAGATTTGATTACCAAGATGTTTTTTTGTCATCAATTTGGTTACTAATAAATTCTTTTTTTATAAGTAACATTTTTAAATTGTTGCCAAAATTTATAAGCTTACTGGATATGAGGGCCTTTGGTCTGGTCTTAAACAGAATCCGCTGCCTGATTATCCCAATGACTTCCAACTCTGCACTAGTCGAATTGGAATCGCTGCTCTGATCCTCATTCACAGATGTTTTTTTCTTCAGCACCAACAGTGGCTTCTTCAATGGCACTTTACTTCCTGTCAGCTCATGATACCCTACAGTGAAAGTGAATACTTCCTGCAAACGGCAAAGCAATCGTTCAACTGAAAAATTAGAGGCGACTAATTTAATCTCTACAGATGGACCGATTTTGCAAATTCATCATCAGTTTGATTAAATTGAAAATCTACGGTGTAAGAAAAGAAACGGGTATTTCAATTTCGAGCATATATTCTCAATTCAAGTGATCAGTTAGTTTCGGACCTTCCGATTTGCCTGATTAATTGTTCGATATAGTAATCCATTCAATTTCTAGGCCACAACAATTTCATACTGTCGTGTGCGAACTTAATTCTAGAAATCGATACTTTATGGGGATTGAAATATTATGAAAGCAGAAGGAATTAAAGTACCTGAGCAGAGGGCCGACATAGAACGCCAATTTCAAGGTTTTGGAGTCGATCTTGGAAAGAAGATTGAGGTTCAACAACACCTTGCAACTCGACGACTGCCCACTCCAAGCAATTGGTTTCGCCACAGTTGCATTTCACCTTAATCTGCATCTTCCTCTTCCTGTGGCTTCCGATTTCTGGTTTTGGAGAAAAATGAGAGGTTTGGATGAGAAGAAAAGATTGGAAAATATGGCGGCAAACAAGAAGGGAACTCCCGCTCTAAAAAAGTTTTCAATTTGTTTGAACCCGAATTTTCGGGTTGGACCGGGTTGGACCAAAAAAATGTCCCTAACCAAACCAACTCCATTCAGAAATACCCCCGAAGAAAGGGTTCACAATTTTATTCGGCTTTATTAGTAGAAAAACTATGCGAGTTGAAATTTGTACCAACTTTTTAGAAGATTTAAAAATGAAGAAATTTCACTCCATAAATAAGAGGGCAGGACTTCTCATTTTTGTCAAAAAAAGGAAAAAAAAAATGACACACAACTTTTTAAAATTTTCAAATATAAGACAAGTTTGGCTTTCCTTATTATGCCTTGTATTACAATGAGATTGACCTTAATGCGAGATATGCTCATTTTGAATCTACAGAATTCTCTCAAGCAACCTTTTTAAAAATTTCTTCAAACTCACTATCATCAACCAATTTTAACCTTCATAGAAGGGTAGAATTAAGAAATATTAAACATAAATATTAAATTGAAATTTTTCAACAAGACTTCGATTAAAAAAATACTAAATAAAGTAATTTCCCCGCTTATTTAATCACATGAACTACCCCATAAATGGTGCTGTCTCTTGTCTCGAACCATTAAGAATATCACTGGTAGGACCATGCGTTTTTTGAACAACCTTAAAGATAAAGGGAACAAAACTATAAACATTTGAGAAGAACTCCACATTCACTTTCTTGGTGAAATTTGAAAGAGAATTTAGGTAAAATTTTGTTTTCAGATTCTGAAAATGAAAACTGAAAACAGAGAATTACACAAAAACAAAGCAACAAAGTTCTCATCTCTACTAATCTTTCATACAAAGCTTCGGTTCCCTGTTTTTTCCAACAATGTAGTGGTTCGATTAAATCAACCACACACCCTCTACTAGTTCCATTTCAAGAGTTGCAATTTGTAAGCCGGGCTGTGATGGAGGTTACCTCCCACACCGCCCTTCAACTGCAGAGGCAGAGGCTGATTTGAGCGTCGATTAGGTGATGGGAGTGGTTTGAGCAGGCAGCATAAGTTTGGGCAAAAATACTGTGGAAAGAAGAGTAACTGACCGATTAACAATACCAAACAAATAAAGGCATACTAAAAGAAGAGAAAAAAGGCACCGTCAGACTTACCCAAATAATATGTCATGCAATGAAGTTATTATATACTGTTAAGAACCTCATTCCTGCCCAAAATCAAAGGACAAAACTTCCTCCGTAACATCCAAAATCTCTTCAACTTCGACCTCTTTGGCTTCGTATTCCTCTTCCTCATCGCTGGCTTCGCCATCCCTCAGTTTCTGCCGCAACATCTTCTCTTCTTCGTGCAATCTTTTCCATTCATTGACCCACTTGTCCCAATCCTCCTTCAACATTCTACGCTTCTCACGATCCTGCTCGCTCAGAAGCATAGACACATCCTGATCTTCCGCCTCATACTTCTTACTGTACTTCTTTAGATTCTTCGCTATCTCTTCCTCTTTCTCAGGACTCAAGAAGGTTGGCGGTCTTGGCCGCCATGCAAACTGTCACAAGCCATACAATAATCAGAAACTCAATAAGGACTCTACAGAATTCATCACGATCATGAAACTAAATCGATCTTATACTTGTAAGCATACAAAAACCTTCAGTAAATCAAATACAGAGACTGTTTCTAGCTTAATATCAGATTTGAAGCTCTTTTATAATTACAAGAAAATATGATGGATAAATTACCTGAAAGAAGTGGTCCTTCAGTATTCTGTAGAGAAGCTTTCCATTAAAGGACCAGATGTTGAAGCCGTTTTCCATCTCATGAACTGAAGTAACCGCAGTTGCAACATACCTGCACAGATGCCAAACAACAAGACAAACTCAGCTGCCATTAACCACAAAGCAGTACAGTACATTCCGATTTCGGATCCAGTTTAAGAGCAAGATGCTCCCTAAATTACCTCCCAGTAGGATCCCACTCAATATCAGTAGCCATGAAATGCTCTGCAGTTGCCATTGTCTCCAGCTCATCAACGTTGTAAAATTCCAACTGTCCGTTAAGACCTTTCAGTCCAGCAAGAATGATGAAGCGTCCGGCAGGTGACCAGAAAAGAGAATTTGCCTGCTTGCCTTTGAGAGTTGTAAGTTTCGACACTCGCCCACTGTTGTGGGCAGTGCGCATTGTGTAAATACTTACATCTGGCCTGGGGTTGTCGCCATGAATAACTGCAAAGCGGTGCCCCTTTGGCTCCCAGGCAAAGGCAATAATCTTGTCGTTCTTATTCTCAAGCTCCAGAACTTCAATAGGTATATCTCGCTCTTTTATATGGAAAAGCTCAAACCCTGTGTATGTGCTCTTCTTCGTCTTTGTATATCTGTCAACCTTGACAGCAAGATAATCCCCATTGCTTTGCCAGTACATTTGACAATCGCTAACGCTAAAAAGATTTTTCTGTCTCAGCTCCTCCTTGCTGGGGATTTGAATAAGACTCACCTAGGAAACAAAAAAGAACTTGGAAATCAATTTAAATTATCCCTATTCGATAAAATTTGAAATAAAAGATTATGGAATAGTGACAACACAAAGGCAGCAGCGGAGTAGAGCACTCACCCTAGCCGGTTGATTCCCACCACCTAGCTCAGGAACAAAGATAGAAATAATGGGATCGGTAGGAGACCAGCAGAAATCCATAACATTCTCAACCTTCAAAGATTTCTTGTCAATAAGAGAGAAAGTCTCTGTTTCATAGACAGAGACCACATTCTTCCCAATCCTGGCAAAGTATTTATCGTCTTTCCCGCCACCCCACCTGCAAAAAGACAATAACATCTGTATCATCAGCAAGAAAAGAGCACTCTGACCAACTTGACAGCAGGGGAAAAAAACTAAGAAAAAAGACAAATCCCAAACAAACAAAAATACCTAAAAACAGGCCAAGATACGCCAGCAACACCACCAGTTCCTCCAATGGCAAAATCATCGGGACTTCCTTTGAAATCTCTCATAACTTTGCCAGTTCTCACATCAAAAATATTGATCACAATCCTCTGAAAGAATATATCATCAGCAATTATAGAAAGAAATATACATCCAACAATTGAAATAAACAATAGAAATAGAAAACCCTCACATTTGCATCACGAGGATTACTTGGCTCGTGGTTGCTGTAAGTCACTAGATACTTTTCACCAGGAGAAAAATCAATTAACTTAACCTGCATTTAGTGTATTAAGAGCTTGAGCCTTTGGGACATGGAAAGTACCATAAAATGGTTGGGAGCCTAAGACAATAGCAGACCTGTTGATGAGCAAAGCGCATCAGACGGTTAAAGGTACCTGCTCCACCCCAAACTGCAGCACCCTGTCGGTGAATTGTCGCTAGGTATGTCCCCAATGGGGACCACTGCACAAAACTCTCAGTCCAGAACTGTAACAGAAAAATATGTGGTTAGGATAAATTTGCCTTAACAGCCCAAGAGCAGAGACACCTGAGAGATATCAATACCATCCACCAACATCAACTAATCAATCTAACTAGAAGATAGGAGTAGCTTTAGATGCAAAACAAGGCGAAAACCCAACAGAGGCTAAAGATACTCACCGGACGCTTGTAAACAGGCTCGGGCTTTAAATGTCTAGCATCATTCCAAAAGACCTCGGTGTCAGATCCAGAACGAATAACAAACTGATCACGTGCTTTATCATCAGTAAGCCATTGTTGAAGATTTTCCTGAAATTTTCATAAGTAAATAACATCATGCTTCCATTAGAGTAAACCATTACAAGTCAATATAACATAGCATTAAGCATGGAACTTCTCAATTCATAGCACAACTTGATCCATAAATTACGTATCCTCCTAACAGTTGCTTTCCCTCATATCAATTCTACTGACCAGTTGTCACCAAAGCTCCTTATATAACCTTAGCATTGATCCAAAAATCTCCAAACCGATCTCTTAGAACAAATTTAAAATCTATTAAGTCAAATTTTGAACTACCACAAGCAATACAAGCTGGATTGAGAAGACATCACAGGAAGCAGTGAAGGTGCAAAATTAACTTTGCAAATAGTTTACCCCAGGAGTATATGGGCTAATTTGAGGAGGAGCCCACTCATCTGGAACTTTCATAAATCTGTCAAAGTCCTCGAACATGTTAACCGTGAAAATATGGGCTCTATCCAACTTATACCCATCGGTCTTCTCTCTGGCAAGCTCAGCCTCCTACAATATGAAGAAATTAAATGAGATATTCCATCCAAGGATCAGAACTACAGTATTATATTACACACAACAGAATTAATATTTCCAGCTGATTTTTTCCTTGAAAACAATCATAGACAACTGAATTAAACAAACTTATGGTAACGGATCTTCAAATGTATACAATAAACGATGCAGGCAACAAAATGCTAGGAAAATAACACTTGGAATGGAATACCATGAAGTTAACATATTATTGGATGAAGCGCATGTCTAGAGGAATCCAAAATATCAAACTAATGTTAATCCTCCTTCAAAAAAAAATATATATATATATATACACACACACACACACACACACGTACACACACGTATATGGTTAAAGGAATAGCAATCACTTAATGGAAATTTTTTTAACACTACAAAGAGAAATATTTCTAGAAACTTATTATATGTCGAACAATACTGCAAGCTAAAGAAAAGTGACAGTTTAGGAGATAGACATACCAAGGTAGGCCAAACGTGTGCATTTACGCATGGACATCAAACAATTAAACTCGACATCTATACACACATTCCACCACTGAATGAAATAGATGGGTGATGGTATAAATGAGGTGTAGTGCTAGTGTATTGATACAATTTATGGATGATAAGGACCTAGAGTTAAATTACCAACTAGAACTAGTAAGATGAGGATTCAAGTATCTGTCACTCTAACAGACGACCTCATCAAATGCCAGCTAGAACAAAAATGATATAGATGGGAAATTATCATTATCTTAATAAAAAATAATACTATATGATATCCTTTCCCCAATAATATTATTCCACAATCATTTCAATATAATTAAAGTAACATATTAAATTTGGCAGGCACGAGGGTGTGTGAGAGATAAAGAGAAAGTACCTGTGGAGTACTATACTCAATAAAACAGTAACCTAAAGTTTTTTGCGTGGTAGGATCAACGGGCATCCACAAACCATCGTCCTTGATAACTCCAATCTGACCAAAAATTTTACGAACAACACCTTCCAGCTTCTCAAACTTCTCCGGAGGAACAACTGGAAGATTGTCAACAACTATAATGTTTCCAAATCCAGAATCAAACTCTAGGCTCTCCTCTTGTAGAACTTCTTCATCATCACTATATAATTGTAAATAAATAAAGGAATAAGAGTTATGGAATAAAAAATCAGAAAATAACTAATTTAATCATCAAATTCCTAAAAAAGAAAAAAGCATTTTTAAGGCCTTGGGAGAGAAAAGGCATAATAATAAGAATCAGATGCAAGATAAAATGATAAAAAGTATATAGTTTTCACCTAATGATCCCAAAATCATCGCCAGGAGGGAGACGAATGGAATCAAGGTCAACTTGGGAAAGATCTATCCCAAGCCGACCAGCCGTGTCCTCAATTTCTTTCATCAGCATCACTTCCGCCATGATGAATCAACTCTGTTGGGATGCAAGAGAGGTCGCACGTAGAACTTTCACTGCAAGGAAAGTAATTTTTATTAATTAATTACGGAGCAGTTTTAGTAACTGTTCCCCCTTCAATAAATCTGAAGAGCTTTCCATCGGTATATTAGATGCTCGAAACCGATGAGAAGATTAATAACCATTGAAAATTTAAGCTTTAGTAACAATCCCATAAGAAAATATTAAAAATTTTGCAGTCTATAGCCATTCAAACAAACATATCATTCATCAGCAACCAAGTTCCAACTTCCACACAGACCAATTGACAGAAATAAAAGATAAATAAAAAAAACTCACTCACAGTGCAGGCATAAAACCAAAAAAAAAAAAAGAAAGAAAGAAAGAAACCAAGTTCGCATTAGCTACTGAGCAGGCAAAATAAATTCACTATGTGATAGAATGGCTCTGATTCTGATATAAATAAAAGTAGAAGTACCGTGAGATATATGAATGAGCCAGCGGCGCAGGCGACGAACGGCGAGAAATGAAATCGTGAGACAGGTGAGCGATGGTGAGATCGAGATTGAGAAATGAGATCGAATTGGAGACTCCGGAGAGTGAAGATCGGAGATGAGAGACGAAAATGAGAGGCAATGAGATTTGATATTGAGAGAGAAACCGAAGAAATGGAAGAAAGCTAAGCTTTGAGCGGCGGCAGGCCCAGGAGGACAAATAAGAAAACCTAAAAAGCCCTAAAACACACACACTCAAATGCACGTGTGTTTTTCATAAAATTATACCATTTAAATTTTTGAATAAATTGTGAATTTTTTTTAATTAAGATTAGTTTTATATAATCTTATAATAACATTTTATTTTGTTGATTGCACACTTTTTTTTATTTGATTAAGTATAGGGTTTTTTTTCGCGAAATCGAATATATCTTCATGATAATTGATATATATCTCTAATCAATAAGTTATGAGTTTGATTTTAAAAAAAATAAAATCATGAATTTGAAATCACACCCCTACAAGTATAGGGTTTTTTTTTTTTTTGCAATTAAGTATATGTTTGTCCTTCACGTTTGAGTATTTTCTTAATTTATAAAATAAACCTAATGAATATGGATTGTTGAAATTAAAAAGGATAATATTGTCCAAAAAAAAAATTTATAGAAATCTAAAATTGAAAGTTTTCATCCGAATTAACATTTGTGAAAATTTGATTGTGAAAAAATTCATAGAAGATTCAAACTTTGAGATATTTAGGTCAATATGTTTAAGAAATTCCAATCTCTTGTGAATTATAATACCCTTTATAGACGTTAATTATTGATATTATAATTGTAATAAAAATATTTAACTTTGACTCTGATGTAATGATATTCTCTATTTTTTAAATGATGGGTGAATTGTTTTTTCTATTATCATATTTCTCATTATTAATTTCAAAATAAACTTACAAAAACATTCAATACCTAAAATATAAACCTAACACTCAAAAGAATTAAAACTAAAAATCCAAATCCAATTGGAATCTTACTTGGATGCATTTTATAAATCAATAATGTGAGAAGAAAACATAAACTTAGTTTTATTTATCAATTACTTTTTATATAGACAAAACAAAATAAAAAAAACATTTATGAGAATGTCGGAAATTCAATATATCTTATTTGTTGAAAAGAAAAAACTTTATGCATTATTTAAAGAGAAAGACAGTATTAATTAAATACTAGTTTGTCATATTCCTGTTTATTGAAAAAACTCAATGACTACTATTTATAGTTTGATTTATTAAAAAAAAAAATAATAAACAAAAATGTTATGCCAATCATTTTCTAAATTTACCTCTTGTTTTTAATATTATATTTGCCTCTTCTAATATTACATACGATTCAGAACTCTAACATTAAAAAATGAAGTAGTGAGTATAAATTTGTTCAGAAGGTCATGAATTCGAATCTCACACACCACAATATTATACTCAAAAAATTAAGTAACGGATATAAAATTGTCGTGGGGTAATGTAAGTTTTATCATGCTACAGAGAGCCTGAGAGCCTGTCTACAAGAGTCGTAGCTAATGGTCAAAGAATTTCAAAATTGGAACTGTAAAGACCTAAAAAGAAATAAAAGCTTCTAAAAATATTCCAATACCACATTCGGTAATATCAATTAGATTAGCTTCAAACAATATGTTCCCCAAAAACTGTAACCAAACAAAGATAAAGATCAGTAGACATCGACCTAAAATTCTTCTGGTGTTCAAAATCCTTTTTTTCCTGCTCGTTCGTTGTTTCTGAACTAAAATGGAGGCAAACGTGCTCTGGCTGAGATGCCCACCAGTTCCGCCATTGCCCTCTGCTTCCTCAACCTTACAAAAGCTTTCAACCTCTCATTTCTCAAAGCGCCATTCTCCTGGTTTTGGTTAGTCATCGTACAACTTGCTTAATCGCTGTTCAGATACAAGTATTTACCGTGGCTTCTCATTTTGGCGATGGTTTGATGGTCAGTTTTGAGGAGCAGCTTGAGCAAGGAAGAGCCGCTTATTGACGGGCTTCCAAAAGAGTTCTACGATGATGTATGTGGATATTTTAATTTAACTACTCCTTAATTTGCTCTTTTTTGTTGATTGGGTTTGTATTTCTTTATCTATTTCTTCTTGCTCGATATTCGTGTTAATGTCAATTGATTGGTATTGTCTTCTTTCTAGACCCGTCTGAACCACTTCTGAACGTGAATAAAAGGAAACTGCTATACTTTCTTGGCAGTTCTTGGGCCAACTCCCTGTTTTATAAAATTTTTATTTAAAATGCCATTTCTTTTTACACCAAATGCTCGCTCTAACCATTTCATGATCTTCCTCTATGGCTGACTAAAAGTTTGTGATCATGATTAAACGTTATAAAATAACTTATGCTTCTTACCTTACCAATTATTCTAATGATTAAACGTTCGTGACCATGGGAATGAAGGAGGAAGAAAAGAGGGAGAACAATGGAGCAGGGGAGAATAAGAGGGGGAGACAGTGGGAATGGAAGTAGAGGAAAATGAGTTAAAAGATTATTTTACAAAGATGACAGATGTAAGTTGTGGTAGACCTCATTGATTTCGAGGTATAGATTTCTTCGACGTGGTGGAAACAGTGTGATAGCCAATGGAGAGGATCAATCCTCTTTCTTATTAACTGACCATTGCAAGACCAAAATATTGGTCAAAGAAATAGAGTGAACATTTTGGTTAAAAACAGTGATTAATAGATACTTTTTCCAATTATTTCACAAACTTCTCTAACTGATGTTTGTTTGTTAAACACTAAAAGCAAAATCTAATACTTTTTCCAATTATCCTTCTTTACTGAGAAGGAAGGGCAGTGGGCGGTCCTTGGATTGACATTGCCAAACAAACACCGGTCTTTTTCCGATTCACTTCTTACAAGGCCCAAAATGGGAAAAAAGTTAGATTATGGAAAGACTTGTGGATTGGGCAGGACTCTCTGGAGGTTAGCTTCCCCGTTTTGTTTAGCATTTCTGATAAAAAAGACAGTACTGTGGCTGATTGTTGGTCGGAAGATTAGGCGGATTGGAACCTGGGATTCAAAAGAGGCCTAAGCGACCACGAGGTGGATAGTTGGATCTGGCTAGTGAACTTATTGGCTTCCTTTCGATTCAGAAATGAGGAGGATAAGATGGAATGGAGCCTCGAAGGGGAGAAGAAGTTCACCACCAAATCAGCTTTTCACAAGCTAACGGAAGTGACTCCAAGATTCCTCTCTCATTTTGTTAAGGCCATTTGGAAATTCCCCTTTCCAAAGAAGGTGAAAGTCTTCCCATGGAGTATTGCTTACAAAAGCCTTAATACACATGAGAAGCTTCAGAAAAAACTCCCAAATTGGATGTTATCCCCCTCGGTCTGCCTTATGTGTCTAAAAAATGCAAAGGATATAGACCATATTTTTATACACGACCCTTTTGCTTACCAAGGGTGGGCCTTTATCATGCAAGGGTGTGGTTTGTTAGGCTGTCTCCCCCGTTCTATTGAGGATTGGGTGATGGAAGTAACACAAGGGGGTCTTTTGAAAGGAAAAGGAAAGATCTTGTGGAGCTGTGCAGCTCGGGCGCTTCTGTGGAGCATTTGGAGGGAAAGAAACCAACGTGTATTCAACAATCTTGCTCTCTCTTTTGACATTTTTGGTGAGAAAGTTCAGTTTACTACGGCCTTGTGGTGTCTTACCTATAGAAAATTCTTTTGTAATTATAGTATAGCTTCGTTTCAGCAAGATTGGCAAAATGTAATGCAGTAGCTCTTGGGGGGCTTCCTTGGCCATGCCGGTAGGCTGTCTTTTTTGTCAATGAGACGCCTTTGTTTCTTATATAAAAAAAAAAGCAAAATCTAATATGTGTTGTCATGGACTTAGAAGAAGCCTCTTTGACTGGGGAATGGACGAATGGGACAGCCCAGTTTCAAGGTGGTTCTTTAATGCTGGATCTGGGGCTTTGAAAAGTCTAAACCAATGCAGTCTTTAAATGCATACTTTAATTTGGGTAGCAACTTTTCGAGGTCTTTTATTTCCATTTGGTTCTCAAGATGTCTTATTAAGTGTACGAAGGATAATCTTTATTATCTTTATTGCTTCTCGTTTTTTGCTTTCAAGTTGGTTTATTATTGATGGCTTCATGGAGAAATGCAAAAGTCTCAAAGTAGCCTTTTAATTAAAGTCTTCAATGCTTCTTGTTTTTGGGTTTTCAAGGTGGATTATTATTGGTGGATTATAGGGAACAAAAAGTCTCCATGCAGGCTTGTTTCTTTAATTCTTCTTGGAAATATCGAAGTCTTTCGACATGCTTCCTCACAATTTTCCATTGCTAGCATTTATGCTCGTCTTAATTGGTGGTTTTTGTGGGATTTGAGGAGTCCTTTTTGTAGGAATTATTTCTTATTTGTTGAATTTTCAACTTCGAGAAGTTGACAGGTATTCTTTTGCTTTTGCTTCTCTTATTTAAAGGAAGGGGTTCCTTTGTGGTTTGTTCCAGTTCATGCATTTTCTTTCCGGTTTGTTGTAAGTTCTCCTCATTGGTTCCATGGATCTTCCCTTGCAAGTTTCTCAAGGAGACATCGTTTCTTCCCTCAAGTTTGTCTCAAGCTTATCTCCCTCTCAATTGGATGATTATTTATCCTCTCTTAAGTCCGAGCTTGTCAATATTGGCAAAGAAAGAACTCTTTGTATTGAAGCACGCACTATAAGAAAGATGGAGATTCAAGCTAAGCATAAAAGAGAGCTTGCTAAAGGTGTTAGAAATATTCGGGCCAAATATTCTCAGATGTTTAAAGAGTTGTTCCGAGATGATAAAGATGTCCTCCACGATATTTTTGATTATCAAAGTTCCTTAAGCTTATTTATGTGGTTCATTGCTACTGGGAGGCTCTACTAGAAAATTACTGTTTTGGTTTTTATGTCATTTTTCTTTGTCGGCTCTTATGTGTGGTATCACTTTGTTTACAATTTTACCTTTTTTTTTCTCTTTTTCCTCGCTCCCTTTGGGAGTCTGTATCTTTTGAACATTTTGTTCATTTTCATTAATCAATGAGAAGTTCGTATCTTGTTAAAAAAAAATTTATTCTACCTCAGGAATGGCAAGCTCGACAAAGAGAGAAGACAAAGGAGTTACATCGAAGGCGTCAGGAGGAAGATGAAGAAGAGGAAAGAAAGGTAGAAGAATATCGTGAAATTGGGATGCGTCTAAAAGGATTTCCAGAAGAAGATGTTATAAAAGCTCGAAAACTGGTTTCAAGCTTTATCCGAGCTGCTGAAGAAGTTGAAGAGGTTATAAATGATTAGCAGTAGCATAAAAGATTTATACAGTCATATAACTTCATCTTTCAAAAAGTAAGGTGTTATCTTAAATTCAGCATGAAGTTTTCTTGATTTTTCTTATGGGCCAAGCTTTTATGGCAATGCCCCAAATGATAGTCTTAAGCTAACCCAAACCAAAGTTCTCAATTAAACAATTAGAGTTCACTTCCTATAGCTTGCACGGTGTCTTGGATATGATTTGAGAATGAAGGATGTTGAGGGTCTTTTATAAGTATATCGTTTTGATCAGGTGTGATTATAGTGTTCTACTCTTGCGTAATATTTATTATGAACTTTCTTTGAATTTTTCCAATATCCTGCCATTTTTCACAAAAACCTCTTATAGTTAAATTAGTGCAAAACTGGCTTAGTGACTTAATCATATTCTACGTGCTTATCAATTGGAATGCAGAAAATTGAGGAAGCTGCTGAGAAAGGGGAACTAACAGAGCTTGTTTTATTAGTCATATGGAATCGACTTGATTTAGCACGCCGTGATGTATGTTGGTATTCAAATGCCTTTAATTTTCATTTACTTATATATTTTGAATGGAGCCTAGTTGTATGTGATTGAGTTAATAACCACTAGATGTTCAAATTGATACATCAATCAATAGTAAGGAGTTCCAGTTTGTAGTTTCTTCAACATTGTTGATTTCAATTATGTAGTTGAATTCAATAACAATTTGTAAATCAAAGAAAGATAAGTATGCTCTGTTCTCTCTCCCCTCTGTCCCTCCCTTTCCGTTTCCTGTTTGGTAAGGAAGTTCTTTTGAAATTTGAGTGTTCTTAGCCTTTTTGAGTGTGTTTCAATTGTCTACTGAAGAATGAAAGTTAGTAGCCGTTATAGAACTGGGAGTCGGATCTTTGCTCCCTATACAAGGGGCACCTGCGCCAGTATCTTTTGGCCAATTGGAAAAGAATTTTGTAATCTCCTATTGCATAGGGTTTACTTTTCTCCTCTTTGTTATTTCATATCATTTATGAAAATATTTTTATAAAAAAGGGTAGTCTATAGTATCTATGAAAAGAAAGGAAGGAAACTGGTTCAGTTACAAGGAAAAGAGTGAGGAGGTAGAAATCCTCAATGGAATATCCTTAAGATGAAGGGCCTCGTCCTAAATTGCTTTTTTGTATGAGTTGGGGATGGAAAGTGTATTAATTTTTTTTTTATTAACAAGAAACAAACTTTTCATTGATAATACGAAAATGAATAAAAAATTTCAAGGATACAAGCTTCCAAAGGAAGCGAAAAAAGAATAAGATAAACAATCAAGACATAGAAACCAAAAACCCATGAAATAGATGTGATTTGAAGCTCAAGAATAGATGCTGAAAAAATGTCATCGATAAAGCTTGCCAATTCAAAAGGACTAACTGCTGAGGAGGAAACCAAAACAATCACTTAACACAAACTGATCGCTAGAATGAAGAAGTAAATTCTGATTAAATTTTGGAAGGATGTGTGATTGGATAGCAAACTTTTGGCTGTGACATTTCCATATCTTAGTTGTAGTGGAGCCAAAATTTAAAACAACCTTTGGATCGTGGGACAACCATGCTGAGTACTGGAATATTGTGACAAATGACAATGAGTAATTTGCTGAACAAAGAAATCGGGGAGTTCAATACCGTCTTGTTGTAGTAAAAGCCTAGCAGAAGGATCAGATGGAAGATTTAGAATTTGTAGCCCATTGGTGAGTTCTTAGTGAAGTCTTAAAGTTTCAGTTTAACTGATGCTGGGGAGGTCTCCTTGGGAACGATCCTTCATATATGGTTCAGAAAGGAAATTCCCGAAAAGTCAAGATGTGGACAGCGGACATTCAGATCCTCAAAACAGCAGAGAGAGTACAACAAGGTGCTCAACCTGGGCATCGCATCCTTCGGTGCTTCCTTGTTCTAGAAAATATGAAAATATTAGTCTTCTATTCTTCCTTTGTTCAATATAAGTTGTTGGAGTTCATTACTACAAATTTTCAGCTTATCTTTGGTCTTTCATCATTCCTTGGAAGGAAAATATAGTTCTGCTTCTACGTGGTCGGACTCCCTCAAAAAAAAGGTAGGAATCAATGGGTCAACACAATCAGATCCATTCTTTCAAGCCTTTAGTTGGAAAGGTATCATAGGGTTTTCAATGAAAAAACAAAGAATTGGATGGAGGTGTCCAAGGTAGCTCAAATTAAATGCTTTTTTTTTTTTGGTTCATTAGATATGGACGTTTGCAGCTATTTCCATTGTAATTAATAATAATTTGTTGGTTTTTTGTGAACTTCATTCAGAAGTGTGTTTACAGCCGTTTTCTATTTTAGTTTATTGTAACTTTGTACATGTCAACAAAAATTGTTTCATGTTTCCAAGAAATGAAAAAAGAAAAACAAAATCACTTATGATTATGTATAACTTGCTCTCTCTTCAGGATGAAAAGGATGCAATTAGAAGTCTTGATCTGTTATATCGAAGGGTTGAGGTATGGTAATGTTTTAAATCATTTTGAACATGCTATATTTTTTAATGTTTTAAACCATTTTGAACATGCTATATTTTTTAGGATGTTATAGAACAGGTCCTCTTTAGGCACCCATGTGCATTCAAGTCCTGGAATTGTAGGTCGAGGCAGATGTTTTTAACTTATCCCCAAGAATCAATCTTAAATTTATTCTATCTATAGCAGTTGTATGCTTGTGATTTGCCAACATTTGTATCTTTTGAGTAATTTTTGTTCATTTTCATTAATCAATTTGAAGTTTGTAACTTGTTAAAAAAAAAAATCAACACTCATAAAATTAAAAGGAAATCTGTGCCACAGCTTCAACTTCACTTGTGAGGTTTTAATTTTTAACAAAGCAAGCAATAACCTAAAGAAACCGTAATTCAAGGTCAAATGATTTTGGCATTGGACCATGGCACATACTGTTATTTCTAGTCATCCCACTTTTTTTTGGCTGCTTTTTATTTTTATTTTTATTTTTTCCCCTTCAATTTTGCTTTGGAAAAAGAAAGCATATATGTATTCTCCTAACAATTCAAGATCTAAGTTTACTTCATATTTTAGACTGAAATTCTCAAACGGGAAGCTACTCCTGCCATGAGACTGCTTAACGAACTTTTGAATATGTATGACGGCTTTGATGATGAAGGGTGGCTAAAAGATTGCAGAAAACGCATGGTTGATACCTTTCCACGGGAGGATCCATTTAGCATTCTTGTTCCAGTTGGTTTAGACATTGATAAGGTATGGTACAAATATAATAGCTCAATTGTCTATAATTGAGATGTGGATGATGAAATTAAGGTGTGGTTAAAATGAATCTAATTCAGCTTTTGACCTCTTCTTTTTATGGTTAGCATCAAGGGCCACTACGACCATCGCTTGAAGCTGATAATACACTATTGAGAGTAGACTTTGTCAGAGAGGTTGATGAATTGCTGCAAGAAGTTCGACCGGATGAGAGTGAAGTGCAATATGCAAATGCAGGTGGATTTGATGTGGAATCGGTGGCAAGTAGGTTGAAACAACAGGAGAAACAACGGACAATAAGGTTGGTTGAAGCACTGCTAGACTTATCTATAAACTTGAAGTGGTAGGGAATGGGAATGAGAATGGAATATGACCTTAAAGTTTTAGTGGAAAAGATACGAATTTCAAGGATCGATTTCCAGTTTAGGTTTTTGCAAATAGTTTTTTCTTTTTTATTGTAACATGTGTGTGGTATGAAGATTCGAAACTCCAACTACCTTAAAGAAAGAAGTAGAAGTCTATGCCGCTGAGCTATATTTGTGTTGGTTATTTTAACAAGTAGTTGCTGGAATAAGACGATAGAAAGACCTAAGGTGTAACACAGATTCGATATCCGAAGCATCAGTCTTCCACTATTTGTAATGCTCGATACATAGATTTAAATAGTACAGTCATATTAATCTGAGAATCCACAAGCATTCCAGCTTAAATTTTTTATTGTGCTCGGCGGGGCTGCAGAGCAGCCTCCACCGCTCGATCTTGGTATTGTAGAAGCTTTACCAAGCTCAACAAATTGTTTTTTGTTCCCTCCGTTGCACCCTGTCAAATCCAGTTTATGCTTTTTATGTGCTAGATGTGTAATATTGTCCCCACAACAAATTTCCGTCTTTTGCCTGAATTTCTTGTTGATGTTCTTTTCCACGTAGCTGTTTTCCTGCTAAGTAGGTGGCCACCATGGTTTGAACTCTTTCCTTCTAAGGCCTTTGCTATTTACATTGGTCCTCATTGACCACTTGGGCCATCCCATGATGATGGTTCCTTATCAGCCATCTCCCTATTCCCCTAAGAAAGAGTATCTTGAAGATATGCCTTTTGATTTTTAGTCTCACTGTTATCATCGATTAATTCCTTCATCTGAACCAAAATCCCTCCAGATTGTCTTGCTGAACCACAGGACTGGTCGGTTTGTGAAATCTGGTTTGGTTGATGCTTGCTGTAAATAAGGGTTTCGTTTGTACCTTGTTTTTCATTGCAATCTTTAGCAGCATGACGAAGCTTCCCACATCCATAACAGAAGTTTGGTAGTTTCTCGTATGTCATGGGGATCCGCTTTTCATCCATGGGGATCCACTTTTCATCCACCATAGATCCTACCTTTAGACGCACTCTTCTTCTTAGGAGCTTCGTGCTATTGTCATGATTCTGATACGCAACATCTATCCCCAACATTGACCATATTTGTTGCTTTCTACTGTCTCAAAACGCCCAACTAATTCCCAATTGCCTTAGCCATAGTCCTTGAGAATCCTGCAAGAGGGAGCTCATGAGAATGAGTCAAGAAATATACATGCTTGAAGTCCAAGTCCTTAATAGATGTGTTAGCTTTTGATTCCTCAAAAATCATCAAAGATTTGTCAAAAAAAACCAGGGCCCCTCCTTGATCACTCTTTTCTTGTCTTTCTGGTTTCTAAATTGGCACAGGGACTCTTCGATTTTAACTTCTTCCAACTTGCCTACTAAGAAGCTTTTCTGCCCTTCCAGCCATACCAAGAAAATATCAAATAGGGGTGTGTTTGAGAGTGATGGTAAAATTAGTGATTTTGAAAAAAAAAGATTTAAATATAATTGATTTTTCAAAATCATCGTCCAACTGATACATTAAAAATCAATTTAAAGTGATTTTAAGCTGTTCTAAAATTAAATTTCTAATTTGGCAAATATGATCAACAGAAAGGAAAGTGATTTTGACAATAGCAAAATTGGTTTTGATCGTGCCAAAATCACTTCCAAACACACCCTAGATCTCCAGCCAGCTGGTTGATTTTCCATTACTCTCGTTTAATTTCAGCACTCCACATTTATTACGTTATTATTGATACTTTCTTAGTGTACCTTCGTTAAGTAAAACATTCATACATTTATTGGAGATTTTATATTTCAAAATTATATTGTATAATTGTTATCCATTTAATTCAATGTTCTTTCCATCATACATTTCATCTTGTTCTCCTATATTCCTTCATTTTCCGCCTCAAAAATGCGTCTTGGATATTTATAATTTCTCCTCTCAGATTGTTTACAATTTTCGTCTTGTAATATTGCCTGCCCTGCCGTATTCAATTTCTTCCATTTTCCGCACCAACTCGATAAATTTGATTATATGATATATATATATATATATATATATATATCCTATATAAACACTCCATCAGTATTATATTTTTACACTCATGATATATTGCATGCTCTTTTATTTTCTGATCATAATATTTTAATTCCTATGATATAAGCAATCATTTCAATCCAAAATAACATCAAACTGCCTATCAAATTAAATACCATGAATACTATATTGATACAAAAATGTTCATACAGAATAAATCCTTATATGTTATAAACCTATAACAAATATTATTCTATGGAATATGGGTGCTGCACATGAGGCGACGCCATAGTTTTGATGGTACCTGGACCACGACGTAGGTTGATAGGAGGTAGATGATGTCTGGTTGTGGTGCGCGGTAGCAAGTGATGGACGATAGTTAGGTGGCAAGCAACAACACGATGTGGGTTATCAAGGAAAGTTGATTATACTGTAAATTTATGACCACGAAAAATACAATATTTTATGGTGACTCTAAACAAAAGGAATCTCATTTTGCAAATGAACCATTTTATAAATTAAAATGTTATAAAAATATTCATTTTGAAGTTGTCTACGTGATTTATGGACAATAAGAGGGCCATGAGGTTCTAAAAAAAAACGAGAATCAACACGACGGAATATTGTACCATTTAGACATATCTTATTTATTTTCTGATTTTTTCAATATAATATATCTAATTGTAGGTATATATGTAATTTATACCTATGATTTAGTTTAAACAAGCCTATAATAATATTTGTGAAAATTTTGGTTAAAATGGACGATCTATAAATGATCCATCAATGTAATTATCAAGTTATAAAATTGAAAAATCCAAAAAATTATAGATAAATTTGAGAATAAACCAATGAGGTGTATAGTATATTTAGCTTATAAACTTCAATTAAAAATAATTTATTTGAAAATATTGTGCTGATCTAATAAAGTAGAATTTTGTGAGATTCAAAAAAAAAAAGTAGAATTTTGTTACCTTTATTTTTCCTCTTGCGTTCTTGAAGGTGTGTTTTTCTTCGTGTTGCCGTTCAAACCCTAGGGCACCGACACCACACAATTTCTCTCCAAAAACAATCCCACGACTTCTCCAAACCCACCCTTAAATCTTCTGAAGTCCGAGCAACTGAATTAGGGTTTTTGTTCAAGTTGTGGCACGCCTCTCCTCCACCAAACATTTCTTCAACATGGACGCCCAGAGAGCTCTTCTGGACGAACTCATGGGTTCAGGTTTTATTTTGATTAAACTCGATTCTTTTTTCTTTGGAAGCTTCATTATCGTTTATATCTCTTGTGTGGTGCATCTTGTCAGTCTAGTTATTGGATTCTGTTTACGTCTTATTGATTTTCGATATTGTGGAGTATCTAGTTGGAGAGGGGTAGAAGTGTTTCTGTTAGTGTATAGGAATTTGGAGAGGAATTTGGGGTGTTACTCATGTAATGTTCTTTTGGATTCCTATTGCTATTTGACCTTTGTTGGTTTTTGCTTCTATTTTCGTGTGGCTTTTCTTGGCCTTCAAATTTACCAAGTGAAAGTTGTCTTTTCTTTAAAAGAAGTTGCTAAGTTTTGTATCTGTTTTTGTTTCTGTAGCTCGTAATTTGACGGAGGAAGAAAGAAGAGGATACAAGGAAGTTATGTGGGATGATAAGGAGGTTTGCGGGTTCTATATGGTTCGCTTTTGCCCACATGATCTTTTCGTAAATACACGAAGCGACCTTGGTGCGTTGTTTTCTTTTTGTATTTATCTATCATAACTCTGGTCTCTGTGAAATCTCTAAGTGAACAAAGTTCCATGTCGAGAAGTCAGTTGCAGTTGTTGAGGATAATGGTAAAATGTTAATTCTGAATATGTTTATTGTGTGATGTTTGATGATTTCTCAATGTTTTTTCTTTTTGATTGGTTTATATTTATATTTGAATAAATATATGTTTGTTTATATTTTCTTTGCAGACCATTGGTATACCTTAGTATTTAGGAAGAGCAATTTATTTCTAAGATTGAATTCTTGTGTCTGCTTTTTGTAACAGGTCCTTGCCCTAGAATACATGACCAGAAATTGAAAGAAAGGTGACAACTGAATATCAATTTTGAGTAATATGAGCATTTAGCTTTGTGTAATGAATTTTATCTTCTGCTATGTATTTGAGTTAGTAGCAGTGATTGCATGCGGTTATAAAAGAAAGCTTTTCTGTTTTCACCATTTATATTGGGATAACTCTCTTTAGACGAGGTCTGGCAATTACTCTATCTATTATCTGGGAAAGAGAAGTAATAACATTTGCTGGATGTATTTTCATGTGTAGCTGATTGACTATAGTTTTTATGAATCAGCCTTCCAGCTCACAATGTAATTTTATCAAGTCATGGTTGTACGTTACGTTATTTACCGTACTTTTATATAACATACCAATGTAAGATTCTTCTCCTTCTATGGGACTTAAAGAAGTATCCTATGGTCTTATGAAAAAGAAGTATCATATGGTCTTATGAAAAAGAAGTATAATGTTGTAAGATATGTACTTTTTCAACCGGAAGAATTATCAATTAAGTGTTTTTGATTTGTGTGAATATTGTTTGAATGAGGCCTTGTTGGCTAAGTGGTATTGGTGCTTCGTTACAGAGCCGAACGCTTTATGGCATATGATCGTTGTGAGTAAATATTGTCCCCACCCTTTTGAATGGGCTTCCGTCAGTGGGTTTAAGGGCCTCTCTAGAGAAATCCCTAGAATGCTATATCATCAAGGTTTCCTCTTTTTCTCTCTATTTGTGAAATGTTATATTAGGGAGGGTTCAAATATTTACTTTCGGGAGGATCATTTGGTGGGAGATAAGTTTCTATGTTTTCTGTTTCCTCGATTGTACCAGCTTTTGGAGAAGAGTTGCATTCTATGTCCTCTGTCATGCCTTTCTCAGGTTCTTTTGCTTCCCCCTCTCTGGGTTTTCGTCGTCACTGTCCTTTGTCGGATAGGGAGACGCTAGAAGTGGTAGCTTTTATTTTGTCCCTGAGTTGCATTCGGGCAGAAGGGACATCTGTTTATGGACTCCCAATAGGGGGTTTCTTTTGTACCTCTTTTTCCAGATCGTGTGCCCCTTTGTCCCTTCCTGACGCTTCTTCTTTCTCCCATATTTGGAAGGTTAAGATCGCCAAGAAGGTTAAATTCTTTACGTGGCAGGTCTTGCATGGGAGAGTTAACACCTCAATCGTGTTCTGAGAGAATCCTATTTTGTTTTAGGCTTGCTGTAGTGCTGTCATTGCAAGCAAACGTCGTAGGACCTTGACTATATTCTATGGCTGACTATATTCTCAGGCTTTATGGAATTGATTCGTGAAGACTTTTGAGATTTCTTGGGTGCTTCTTGTGCTATGATGAAGGAGGTTCTCATGCATCCTCCCTTCCGAGATAAGGGGATAATTCAATGGCAGGCATGTTTCTTTTGCTATTTTATGAGGTAATTAGGTTGAGAGAAATGGTTGAAGTTTTAGAGGGGTTGAGAGGTCCTAGGGAGAGGATTGCGGTGTGGTTATCAGTTGGGCCTTATTATTTCGGATTGGAGTCTTGTTCTGCACTGTAGGGCTCCTTTTGTGAGGCTGCTTTTTTTGGTATGCCCTTGTTTATCTTTCATGTGCTTCTTAATAAAAGTTTGGTTTTTCATTAAAAAAAAAAAAGAGAATCTTATGGTAGAGAAAATATGACAGTATATTGAAGCAACTTGAAAAGAAACTGACATCAATTCTAACTTTATATCATTTCTGTTGAGGCCTATCTTATGATATATAAGCAATGTATAAGCATAATATCTACTTCTGATATGTTTGTCTCTTTGCAGTTAATATTCTTTGATACTATAAAGTGTTATTAAGGCTCTCCTTCTGGAGTTCAGATTAGGATTGATTTCAGTCCCAAAAGGGAAATTACCTCTTCTTTGATTTCCCTCCAAGAAAACCTTTTTTTAATGAAAATTAAAAAAATATAATTCTCTTTTTTCAAAATTGGCATTGGTCCGCGCTTCTTCTAGACCTCTGTTAATTTTTTTTTTCCAGAAGGCATAGAACCCCGACTTTCCGACCAAAAGGTCATGGGTTCGAATCCCCACCCCACATGTTGTATTAAAAAAATTGAATTGGTTGGTTCTATAGAAGTAACTTTCTGATTTCTTTGGATTAAGTATCACATTATTAATATGGATGAAAGACCTCCACTTTACTAATTTCTTTAAACTGAAAAAAATAACATTCTCGGACATCTTGAGCAGCATTACTGACAACTGGTATGGACATCCTGCAATATGGCTTGTCCTTACCAATATGATTATTTTGAGCATATTTTGTGGTCTTGCAGGACTTAAGAATTAATTCGGATTCTTATTTTTCTATGTATGAAATTGGAATAATTATTTTATGTACATGTTTTGTTTTATAATATGTATGCATGTGTACTGCAGTTATATAAATATAAAGCCAAGTTTTATCCTCTTTTAATGTGATCTTAATTTTGTGGTACACCAGCTTTGAAAACTCACCAAGGCATGATGCTTATGTTCCCAAATTTGAGGCTGAACTTGCTCAGTTTTGTGAGAAATTGGTTAGTCATGCTCTTTGTTTTATATAGATGCTGTATGCCATGTTTGTACTTAATTGTTTCCATTGAAAATACATTATCTTTTACAGGTAATGGACTTGGATCGGCGTGTTAGGCGTGGACGTGAGCGTCTTGCCCAAGAGGTTGAACCTGCACCACCAACTCCACTGTCAGCTGAGAAGTCAGAGCAGTTATCTGTGCTGGAGGAAAAAATAAAGAATTTACTGGAACAGGTGGAGGCCCTTGGTGAAGCGGGTAAAGTGGATGAAGCTGAAGCACTGATGAGAAAGGTGCTACTCATAATGCAAGATTGGTTCCCTCAAGCATTCAGAATGCCAATGAATAGACTCTAAATTATTAAAAAAGAATTTATTCTTCTTGAAGCAATTTCATAATCTTTGTATAGAACTCACAACTAACTTGATTTTATTTAATATATTTTTGTAAGAGTCCCAGATATTGATCAATAAAGCATCTCGTGCGTCACTAAATTAGCCATGAGGATATAAAAATGGTTATTCTTATTTGGACTTTTGGTGTCTTCATTTTAGGTGGATTTACTTAATGCTGAGAAAACAGCATTGACTCAACAAACCCAAAATGACAAGGTATTGATGCTTGCCCAAGAGAAAAAAATGGCTCTCTGTGAGATATGTGGTTCTTTTCTTGTAGCAAATGATGCTGCAGAGAGAGTTCAGTCACATGTCACAGGTAAGCAGCATGTTGGTTATGGCATGGTCAGAGATTTCATCTCTGAGCACAAGGTAGGCATTTCTAAAGCTGTGCAAAAGTTGTTCAACTTTGTTTCTTTACAATTATTTTGGTGAAATATATTGAACTGGGCTTCACCTGGCAGGCAGCAAAGGAGAAAGCAAGGGAAGAAGAAAGATTAGCCAGGGAGAAAGAGGCAGAAGAACGGAGAAAGCAAAGAGAGGAGAATGAGAGAAGAAAGGGTGGTGACTCTAGCGAGAGGGACAGATATCGTGACAGAGAGCGAGACAGGGATCGAGATAGGCATCGTGAACGAGATCGAGACCGTGGGTCTAGAAGAGGTAGTCGTGATGATGTAAGAGGAATGGATTGGAGGTCTAGGAATGGAAGGGATGGAGGCCGGGATAGGTATCGTGATCGGAGCAGGTCAAGATCCCCTATAAGGCATGGTCATAGGAGATCATCTAGAAGTCCGGTGCGGCCATAATTATGAACTGTGTTAAGAGATGTCCGAGCTTTAAAACTAAATGAGGTAGATCTCTTCATGTTCGAAGCTTATGAATGTATGCTTTGGTACCTCAAGTTACTTTGTCAGTATTGGTGAAACTTTTTTTGCTATCTCACAGCTGTGTTGACTGTATCATCTCCCTTTCATCATTATTATTAGAGGAGAAAAGGGTTGAGGTAGGTATTTTTTGTTGTTATAACTCTTTAAGTATAATTTAGACTTTTGATTTGCACATCTTTTATACTAGATTCTTATAAAAAATTGTGCAAGTGTCTTCTACATTTTCATGTTGAGTGGAGCTTTCGCTACTTCAGTGTTTGTCATGTGTTTAATAGGACAGGATCAAAATATATGCATGCTGAGAGGGCTGACGTTTATTTTCTCGTTTTTGAGGTAACATATAAATCTCATCTCTTTTCTAAGAACACGTGATCGCCAGTTGTTGTTATCAACCCTGTATCTGGGAAGTGTCTCGTTCTTCTTAATAATGTATATTACTAGTAGTGCCTATAGTCCATGTTTTTTTGACATAGAGACCATGTAGATCTAGCTTTTCAAAGCATTTTAACCAGTACCTTTGTCTCATTGAAGATTATCTTCTGGGATTTTTCATTGAATAGTTTTTCTTTCTATTATCTCGTGGAGTATAGAATCTAGGGGAGCCTGGGTAATATTAGCATCATGGTGGAACATGCCTTCTTTTCTTAGCAGAATGGAAGTTTTGGTTACATAAATGGAGCTCGATACTTACTAAAAGGAGAGGTATAACCTTTATTTAGTACAGTGCTTTCCACATCAAAATTCTGGTTTGATGAAAGAAGTGGGGGAAGAAGTATGACGTAGCATGAAATATACAACTTGTGGTGACTGAAGGTAATTTTTACTGTTAATCTGTAAAATAGCATGATCTTTAATCCATATAGTTTGCAGGAAATGTATTGGGCGAGTTTTTTGATTGCTACTGGTGGATACAAACCGTCTTGGTAAGGAATGATTTGTGCAGGGAACTTATTTTGCAAAGTAGATCATATTTGCAGAACCATTGAATTGCGCCAATATGGTATTTTCCGAACCATTTGAATTGTGTCGATATAGGGTCTTCGAAAATGAATGCAATGAAATTTTGTGTGCCATGTTTAAATCTTTCAGAAGTCAGAGATGTCAGTTCTGCGTTTGGTACTTGCTGATGAATTTGAAGTTTAAATCTTTGAGAGATTGTTTTAGAGCACATTGCGGACAAGTTGACAGAGAGCATCAGCATCATGCAGTTTTTATTTTTTCTCTGTTTTTTGGCCTTTTTATATCCTTTTTCCTTTAGTTCTCTACTTTTTGAGCAAACACATCTTATTTTCGGCTTTTTGATCTTGATTTTTTTCCCTCGCATTTAGATTGAAAGATGACTTTTAAAACAAGCCAATCCATTCTGCTGAGTATCTAACTTTGAAATTTGTTTTGAGAAATAGGTATGTGGAAGATTACATTTTTTTTAGCTGTGTACCTCTATATATGTAATTACAAAATGTACTTTTTTTAGAAACAAGTAATTGCAAAAATAATATGTTTTTAAGTTGCATTGTTCATTCAATTCATGACACCCATCGAGTCTCGAGTTAATAACTCAATTGGTTGTGGTAAAGATCTTAGGATGTTTGAGATATTCATATTTGGACCAATCTTAGGGAATGTAGGGCAAGTTCTTATCTCAGTTTGGCTCGATTGCCAACAGTCAAACAACTAGTGTCAAAGATCGTGCATTTAGCGGTAAGATAAGTTGTAACTGATCCTAGAACGATGACTTTTACTTTTGGTTCGTTTTGATACTTTATTTTTAAAATGTCTATTTTGATTACAGTATTTTAACTTTTATTCATTTTAGTCTATGTAATAACTTCTAAATTTATTCTGATGTAGTCATAAATTTGTATTAAAAATGTTTCATTGTGTATAAAATTTGTGTTAAATTTTTACAAATAAGGGTTAAGTTGATCAATTTTTTAGAAGGGAAAGAATAAAAATTGAATTTTTAAAAGTGTAAGGACTAAAAGAATAAAAATTGATGGTGCATGGATCAAAAGAAAAATGAATCAAAGTCCAAAGTTCGATTTTAGGGACTAAAATAGTATTTAAAACACTACGAGGGTAGTGGTAACAAATGAACTTTTTTATTTATTTATTTATTTTTAGTACAATATGTTGAGTTGGTATTGAAAATTTATGTCAATTACTGTTAAGTTATATTCGTTAATTTATGATATGTTATCTACCACTATGTTCATGGGTAAATGAAATTATTAAATTATTAAGACTAATATATTTAGATGGTAAACATTTCTATTTTATTTCTAGATTTGATCATGATTACATCTCTCTGCATAGTTACTAGGAATGAGAATGAAAAAGTAATAATGAAAATGTTGTTTTGCTAAAAGCATGAAATGCAATCAATTTGTTAGACTCATTTACAATTTAAGAATCATTTTATTAAAATCTTGATTTCCTTTGATATTTATGTCAATTTTAGGTATTATATCAAGAAAAGAAAAGGTTAATTTGATTGGCCATTTTAATTTATACATATTGTAAATTTAATTATTAATCAATTAGGAACTTTTAGTATACCTTGGTAACGTTGCCAAATTTATGAATTTTAGTAACAATCAATGGTTTTGAAGTTTGTTTTTAAGAATTAATTTGAAAAAGGTTGGTAAAGTAAAATTATCATCTTATTATTTTGTCATATATCTAGATCAAAAGAAGCTAATTTTGAAACTAAAATTAATTGTGTCAATTACTTCCCTTTACAAAATTTGAACTGTTTATGATCATAACATGAAAATATAATATGAAAGTCAATTGTATTTAAGGACAAAAATAAAATAAAATAATTATATTTACACTATAATTTATTTTTTTAAAAAAATTATACTGATTGAATGTTTTCAAAATGGATATTTTAGTCTTTTAATTAAGGTAAATTATCTCATCATTCTCCCTTGTCCAAAAAATGGAGCCTAAAATACAATTTGGGCTAGTCCATCCTAATCTCGAACAACCAAGAACATGACTTAGCCCATGGGCCTAACTCATTCAATCAAAACTAGGATTGAATTGGATAATGGTTAATTCTTTTTGGAAGAAGGGCAACATTAACTAAAATAAAATAAATACGATTCGTTTTAAAAAATGACCAAAAATATTAGTTATTAATTAATAATATGGCTAATTGTGATTTAGTAGAATCCTAAAATTTATTTTAGACAAATATACATCGAAACAAATAACACATACGAAAGCTTGATTTTAGGCATTTTTTCAACAACAAATAGTAGCAAAAAACATTTCATCATAATTAGAGAAATCGATTTACAAAATCAAAATCAATTAAACTAAAGACTATTTTCAAACTAATTGTAACAAATAAAAGTAAAAATTTGAAATCAAGAAAAAACTTAGAATGGTACTTGTATTTGCGAATAATTGTTTTCTGGAGACCTTTCGTAGAAGACGAGTGAGGTTTAAATATTTCAATTGGAATGAATAAAACCAATACCATTTTATAGTAGTTGAACACACTCTGTATTTGTATCTTTCCCATTTGGGACAAATTTCAATTCTAATATTTTTTCAAAATCCAACACCGACTGTATTTGGCTGGTCACCATTAACAGCAAAAACAACGCTACTCCACCTCAGTTCCACGAGGCAGTTCAACTTCCACTGCGTCTACGTCAACTCGTCCAGAATCTCGCATCAACAAATAATAATATTTATGAATATTATAATTAAGATATATAGGTTTTTGGCATTTCAATCTATGACTTTGTTTAGTGGTTATCTAACAAAAAGAAAGGAAGAATACGTAAAATAGAACACGACTCCCGATCACTATAACGTGTCAAATAAAACTTCATCAGATCCTCCCAATTTATTTTTTTCAAACAAAGTGATCATCTAAATGGCATCCTACTCTACAATCATCTCCATAAACCTACCAAGTTTGATTAAAGACTCAACTAAAATAAAACAATTCAAAAGAAATAAAAATGAGTTTATTAAACTTAGTGGGGACTGTAATTTTGCAATTTTAATAAGTTTGGATGGCTGAAATTAAATTAAGTGCATGCGTCACCTCCAAACAACTTTAAACTAAGACGTGGGGAACATTGCTTCTTTTTCATTAATCAAATCTCATATGAAATCACTAGTAAGCACCTAATTGGATGCTTTATTAAAATTAATTAATTACTAAATTAGGTTTATGGTCTTATTGTAAAAAATAATAATAATAAAATGCTTTTCGTGACTTTAAAATATGGATGACGTGTATAATTACGAAAAAGCCCCTTGTTCATTTGTCTTTTTTGGAACACTTGGTTAGTGAAATAAAAATCTACGTATGGTTTATTTTAGGGAGTTTTCTTTTTCATTAATTAAAAATTCTTAAGTTACGCTCTTGAAATGATTGTCTTTTTTCGTAATATAACATGTAGGAGTTGGAGATTCGAATTCATGGCCTATTGATTGGATATATGTGTTGAGTTAAGTTCTGGATGGTGAAACGATTTATTTATTACTTGTTTCTTTTTAAATATCGGTAGAAACTGGATTTTAATTTAAGCCGGCTTTCATCCGAAAAAAAAAGAGCCCTAATTGATTTTTCATTTGGTTTATATTTTTAAGATATGAGATGTAATTTAGTCTGTAATTTAGTCTTAAAATATTAAGATTTAGTAGAGAAAAGTAGGATTGAAAAAAAATATATGAAGTTTTAGAGTTTTCGAAATAGAGGAGTAAGTATGTATTGAGAGACTAAATATTCATACAATGTTAGGTTTTAAGGCACCTCATGGTATCGGCGTAGTGACAAGAGATTTGGGTGTTGACATCCAATATTTAGATTCGAGCCCAACATTACTTTAGAAAATAATGACCTCATCGATTTAATATTTCTCCATTTATATTCCAAATTAAATCTAGAAGAACACTAATAAAAATAAAATAAGAATGATATAGTTATATGCATAAAAAGCAATTAAAACATGACAATTTTATATTATAGTCCAATTTTTTACTAACTATTATATTTTAGATAACTTAAAATAGTCAAATTTATAGTATATATAATGTAAAGTTAATAAAAATGTATCATGGACAATTGATCTCCAAATTGTTGACTTCTTTTGATTTACTTGTTTTCAAGGTTAAAAAGAAGTTGGTTAGGTGCTGTCTTCCATTATTTTACACTCAGAAACTATGTTTTAGATCTAGTTTAATGTCCAAAATCTTCCATTAAGAGTTATCTTCGGTTATACATGCATATATGACATTTTTATAATATTTTGAGTTGATTCATAACAAAAATCATGATTTTGTGCAGAAAATTACCGAGCTATGGGACTGACGCCTTGTCCAATATCGAAATTGGCCTTAATGTGAAACGAACGTTTTGATGTGTTTGACAACCTCTCCTAACCCCTCCACGTGTTACCCATGCAAGAAGGTCTATTCAATAAAAAATTAAGTTGGAGAAATTTTGAAGGGATAACTCTCCACGAAAAAGCTCCCTAACTACCTTGAGCTCCTCATAAATTCAGTAGTCTCCTTCACTTCAATCATCATCAAAAAGTGATAAATTCAACTTTTTACTATTTTGTTCTTAAGCCTATTTCGTTTTCCTAATTTAGTCTTTTAGTTGTATGTTATTATAAGGCTTAGTTTATTTCAAGTTTATACTTAGTTTTCATCTCGTTACATTTTAGTGGTAAGTTTTGAACTCCATTTAAATTAATTCCATCAAATTCATTAATCTTATCTCAATTTTCTCTCTTTACAAAGCTAAATTTGTTTCCCCAAGCCCATAGATGATTAGCTAAAGTTTTTAAAAATCTAACAAGGCAAAAGATGTTTTTATCTTCTTTTATCATTCGATTTTTGGGCTGAATAGCCCTTTTACCAATGCAGTATTACTTTTTAATATTTGCTGACATGTATTTGATACCAAATTATTTTCACTATCATTCCACTCCTTTTTTATTCCCTCTCCCTCCCTGTTTTTCCATATCTTCAAAAAAGCATCATTCTTCCTCTCTCTTCATTTTTCTTTTCTTCCTCTCATTGTCGTTCAATTTTTTTCTCAAAAACATCAATAAAAACCAAATTAAATTGATAAACGCACCTTCTTCCCATCTAAAAATAGGATTTAGAATGGAACAAAAACTCAATTAATTTCATACACACTTTCTCTCTCTCTAAAATAAGATTTAGAAGGGAACAAAAACTCAATTAATTTCATAGACACACTTTCTCTCTCTTTAAAAATAAGATCGTCTGAGAGAGAGATCCGACCGTCGAGAGCAAGATCCGACCATGGACAGCTCCGTTTTCCTTTTATTGGGCACCGATGGCTTCGCTGTTTTCCTCTTGCTCTCGATCTCGCTCAAACTCTC